AGGAGACATCTTGTGTCCTGCAGGAAACAACATGTGCATATTCATAGATTCTGGAATTTTTAACAATACCTTTTTAATCATTTTAATGTGGAAATAAGACTGTTGTAAGCAGACTATTTCTATATGCTGTATGACAGGTGTAGAGGGGATCTTTAAATCCAGCTCCAGGAAGTAGAAAATGTAGCAAAAACCTGGTCAGTTATTCCCTTTTATCTCTCCTGATGTTGAGTTCCCTAATTTGCACTCATCTGCATACATTTGTGTATTGAATTGAATAGTAACTCAGTTGCTTTTAGCCATGCCAGCAGTGTGGCTCTATAGATGAAAATGTCTGTGTCCATCCGTCATCCACAGCTTTGCTCCAGACTGAAATATCTCAGTAACCATGTACAGACCACTGTACAGTTTGGTGCATATGTTTGTGTTCCCCTCAGGATGAATTGCAATAAGTAGACATTCCATCCACTGTTCACCAGAGAACTTCCTTGCCTTACCGTCAGTTGTCAGAGGCAGCCAAAGCCACAAACCGAGGGCGATGAGAATGAGACGTGACATGTTTGTTTCTCCTCTGCAGGAAGTGGGAATCACCGCTACTTCATGGGTTATCTGTTCTTCCTGCTCTGCATGATCTGCTGGATGATGTACGGCTGCATTTCCTGTGAGTGATAAGTTATAAACTTCTTCCCCTCGTTTCCTTCTTCAGTCCTTCCATTTCTCTAACTCCTTCCCTTTCTCTCTCTCTCTCTCCCCTCAGACTGGAGGATCCACTGCGCCACCAGTTACGCCAAGGACGGCTTCTGGCTCTATCTTACCCAGATCGCCTCCTGCTCTCCCTGGATGTTCTGGATGTTCCTCAACAGCGTCTTCCACTTCATGTGGGTGGCTGTGCTCATCATGTGTCAGCTCTACCAGGTCTGGGTTTACATTTGATACACCACTTTTAAAGACATGAGCATATTAATGTCTGTGTCCCTCTGTGAATGTTGGCTGAGCTCTCGTACCTCTCTTAGATCGCGGCTCTGGGAATCACCACCAACGAGAGGATGAACGCTCGGAGATACAAGCACTTTAAAGTCACAGCCACGTCCATCGAAAGCCCCTTCAAGTAAATGATCTCATTCTGTTTGCCGCACAGAGCTGAATCTCATCATTTCAGAGGGTGTTAGTGATAACGTTAAAGGATTGGTTCACCCAAAATAAGAAGAAAACATGTTCTCACTTAGCTCTAGCAAAGTGGCTCCCAACCTGGGGGTTGGGACCAAAGCTAGGGGTTACCAAAGCGTCATGGGGGGTACTGAGGCCTTCTTGATTTTAAAGCATGTAAGAAAACTGAAAATATACATAGTGGGCCTATATCTCAGTATTTTGTTTACTTGTGTGAAGAAAAGTAAATTGTCTAATAGAACAATAGCAAAGACAGGGGCAAGAAAACACTGAATTTGTCAAAAAAGAAAAACAGCCTGTTATGTCTGTATGAGTGTTAAAACTAAATACATACTACAGACAGAGAATTGTATAGAAAGTTCCCTAAACTGGAATTAATCTAAAATCATTGAAATCACTTGTTTTACACAAACTTCTTGCAGTTACTGAGTTCACTGTTTGGTTTCATTGTACAGTTTTGAATATAATATGAAATATCCATAACATATGTCACTGAGTCAGGGGGCATCAGTTTAATGAATAATAGAAAAAGGACATTTTTCTAAGGAAAAAGGTTTGGAACCGCTGCTCTCTCTTGGTGGTTTTATTTGCTCAGGTTTAAAGTCAGTCAGCCTCTGAGGTTTCTGCCTCCCCAATTCAATAGAGCATTAAACATTTTAACAGCATTGTATCTCAGCAGGAAGTAGTGCCTCTGAGAACAGTGTCAGTGTTCTGTGTGCATTATCTGCAGTAAGGGGGACACACTCAAGGTGGTTCTTATTATATATTAATGGTGGTCTGTCTCTCTCTCCCTCTCCAGCCATGGCTGCTTCAGAAACCTCATAGATTTCTTCGAGATCCGCTGCTGCGGTCTGATCCGGCCCGTGTCGGTGGACTGGACCACGCAGTACACAATAGAATACGACCAGACGTCTGGCTCAGGCTACCAGCTGGTGTAGGAGGACGAAGAAGAAGAAGAAGAGGAGGAGAAGAAGGGAGAGGGGCAGGGGGAGTCGTTGTGTCGCCGGGGTGGAAGGAAAGGTTTGGGAAGGATTACCCTTCCCCCGACCCCACCTCCCACCGCCCACCCACCCCCCCCGGCCCGTTCATATCGGAGCCGATGCTGCTTCTCGGGGGGCGGGCTTCGCTTTTTTTCCGGACCATCTCCTCCCTCACTGGACTGCATGACTTTGAAAACGAAAAAAAATCAGCCATGACTAGCATGCTGTTACGGGGGGAAACACCACAACCTACACCCACCACCACCACCATTTATACATATTTACTACTACTACTACTATTATTACTACTACTATTACTATTCTGCAACATCAGACTTCATTACTGTACCTCCACTGCTACCAGACCCCCTCCACCTCGTCTCTTCTCCCGAGCCCTTTGGACGGTGCGTTGCTGCCAGGCACGAACGGAGAGGAGAGAGGCCGACGGACGAGAGGAATTACAGAATAAAAGCTCCTCTGTTTGTACCGGAGACGTGGCGCTGCGGAGACAGCAGTGTCATAAAGTGGCAGTATCGTTCTTTCCCCTTTCCCCACTTTATATCCTTATTTATGGTGTCCCTGTTGATGTGCCCTGTATGTAGTTTTTTTTATTTTTGATTGGTTCAGGAACTCTGCTGTTCCTGTGATAATAACTGTGCTGGCCAGGGAAGCTGAAGGAAAGTTGCTCTTTTTAAAACCATGAATTTGTTTGTAAGTATGATTAGATAAGGGAATGTCTTTTTAAGGTCTTGATTTTGCACCGTGATGAATTTTGATCAAATCAGAGGGAAGTGTCGGAGCCGCTGGAGGAGTCCCAACTTCTTGCCTGCTGAAATAAAGCTGCATACACAGAAGAAGAAATTTTAGGATACATTTGAGTGATTTTTTTTATTATTATTTGCAAATTAATAACCAGGAAACGGTTGTGGTGCAGTATTAAGGCAGGATTATAAGTGCATGAATGGGGACTCCTCCAGCGCTCCAGCACTGCAGACATGACAGAAAATATCCTACAGACAATGTGATACAGGTATATTTATTTTAAAACTATTTATAGATAAAATAACTATGTTCTAGCGCCATCATTTTTACTTTTCACATCATTTTAGCTGAGTAGGTTTTTATGAGAAAAAGTTATTAAACAAGTACCTGTAGCTGTTTGACATGGAAGCCCGAGGCGGGTACAGCGAGTGTATTTATTAACAGCAGAGTGGAGTATAAGAGTAAAAGCAGGAAGACAGACGAGTTTACGAACGGTTCATTCCATGTGTGTTTCTCTCAAAAAGCTGTAAAGTCTTATTTGTTTCGTTCGTCTTTTGTCTGCCTACAACATTGCACTGATCTTTTTTTTGTTTCCTGTGTGGTTTAAGAGCACTTCATAGTACCGAGACAGCACTTGTTAAAGTTACTAATGACCTACAGCTGACTGCAGACAAAGGTGACTTTAAGGTAATTTAAGTGCTGCCTTTGATACATTCGATCATAGCATCCCGTTATGTCACCTGGAGACTTGGGTAGGCATGGAGGAGGCAGCTCTTAGTTTATTACACTCTCCAAAAGATCCTTGTTTATTATTCAGAGTAACTCTTTTTCCTCTGCAGCTCAGTAAAGCTATGGTGTCCCTCAAGGTTCAGTTCTTGGACCCCTTCTGTTCTCTATTTACATGCTTCCTTTTGGCCAGCTTATCAAAAAACATGATGTGCTTTACCATTTTAATGCTGGTGACACTTTCTTTTTTTTTGCTTGACTCGTTACCGGGACAAAAAAGACATGATCACATCACCCCTGTGCTTGCCTCTCTACACTGACTGTAACATTGTTAGGGCACTTTATCATGTTTTATCTATGATTTAAGGGCATCCAAGAGGGCACTTTTGCAGCATTTTTTCAAACATCGGGACAGCAATTTTGAACTGAGGTCAAACCAATTTTAGTTTGACTTCATTGGGAATAGATTGGCCTTTCACTGCAGCCAGAGCATTTTCAACCATCCTCTGTACCATCATTCTTGTTGTAGTGTAAGTGTTGGTGCCAAGGTGGGGGGTGATCAGCACATTAGGAAGGCCAAGGAGAGGATGATCCCTGCACAAGAAGGATAAGAGGAGTTAGGAGCTGGCAAAGAGCTAATTGTTTGCAAATGTTAAATTCTCCTCTCTTTCACTATCAAACAAAGCTGCTTGCAATCTTTGCCTGTATGTGCAGACTGCTAAACAAATATTCTTTTCATTTTCAGTTTGCTGTGTTTCACTGAATAACAACACTGAGATTAAAAATGTCCAGGGATTATCAATTGTCCTTTGATACTTTAAGTCCCTGAATACCGTGTGTGTCAGTTCCTCTGTAATCTATTGATGTGAAAAGATTAATGTTTGTCAGTTACAGCGGGACTATAACTAGTACACAGCAATTTTGATCAAAAGTAAGTTTACTGCAGTAGCAAAACTGAGCAAGAATACAACTGTTCATTTAAAAGAGGAAGAATGAGGTTGTTCTTCTTTGAAAATCTATAGTTTCACTTTAATGAAAAATTAAGTGAGTCTGGTTAAAGAGTGTAATGTAACCTT